TGGGATGACAGGGTGGTGACTACACATGGGATGACAAGATAACTCAACATCAGATGACAATATGACTACACTTGGGATGACAGGGTGGTGACTACACATGGGATGACAATATAACTCAACATCATATTTCAATATGACTACACTTGGGATGACAGGGTGGTGACTACACATGGGATGACAAGATAACTCAACATCAGATGACAATATGACTACACATGGGATGACAGGGTGGTGACTACACATGAGATGACAAGGTGGTGACTACACATGGGATGACATGGTGGTGACTACACATGGGATGACAAGATAACTCAACATCAGATGACAATATGACTACACATGAGATGACAATAATACTACATATGGGTTGACAAGATATTTACACATGGGATGACAAGGTGACTATACATGAGGTGACCAGATGACAATACACGAGTTACGCAGGTGTATGCATGTCCAATACAGGTCTTTGTGAAATTTGGTAAGTAGGTTCTTGTTCCCTAGTTTGCATTTGGTTTTTGTGCTTCAAGCTGCTCCTCACAAGAAAACTTGGCTGTCAGAACTCTAAAATCTACCCTGTTCTTGTTTGTGTTACTATCTAGTAAATAGGTCAGACAAACTGGCTTCAAAGGGCCATTGGAAAACAGTGGGAGGAAGTTTTGATCACATGGACTGTTGACATGACAATATTGATATCTAACAGATTAAAGAAAGCATCAAATTTACATAGAAGTAATGATGATTTGTGGATTTCTTTTTCATAATAATCCATTTGTATTTCAGGTGGTGAATGGGAATATGTTATCTACAGCACTGTCCGTTCATTACCTCAGTATAAGATTGACAGGTACAGCAGTAGGAAGTGGTGTGAAGATCACTTAGGGGTCAGTGATGATCACTGCCAAGTCCATGTGGCTCTCACTCGTGCCAACAAGGGAATAGTTATCATCGGTAAGTTTGGCTCGCATATTGATCATGTATGGTTTTGCATTGATTGTAATGTTTCCAAGTTTAAGATTATGTCAGAAAAAGCCTTATAATGACAAAGACTGCCACCCTCTTCACCAGGCTATCATAGATCATGTACAAAATCGTATTATGCCCTCCTACCCCTACTACAAAGTGATGAGTGGTTTTGTTTTAGTTTCCTGTCAGATAGTGTCCATCTGTTTGTCTGTGTGTGATTATGCTAGAAGGCGCATTATTCCACCACCCCATCCACCAACCTATTATCACAGCACTCAGAATTTTATCAAAAAAGACTGGATGATTTACCTTAAAGCCAAGAATTTTATCAAAAATACTGGATGATTTACCTAGAAGCCAAAATTCATCAACGACGTTTCATTTGCTGTCAGTCAGTACAAAAATACTAAATAGGCTTACAATGTTTGTACATGTATTTCTGCATGTGTGTTAAATACATTCAGATGATTCACTAAAACCAGATATTTACCTCGTTTTTGGCAAGCTGGTTGAGCTGTGCATTGTTAATTATTTAAGATGTGACTGCAAGATAAGGCCTACTGGTGATACACTGGCTTACATTCGGTAATAAGCCCACCCTCCACCTTTGATCCAATTTCTTTTTGCACAGGCCCTCTGGGTTTTTCACCGGTAAAATACAGTATGTAAAACAGAACAGCTTTGTGAATATGACGGCAGTCTGCTATTCCAATGGCTGCTATCTAACTTACTCCTATAACATGAGAGGCCGCTGGTGGGTCTTTTTTCTATCCGATATGATTGGTTACGTGGCACCTGTCAAAAGTATCTCGCCGCATAAACCTCTAACACTGTTGGAGTACTATCTAACTCTACTAGTGCATTCAGAATATTTGTAGTCTCACGAATCGTTGATTACAGGACGGTACGGTAAACTTGATAGTGCAACTGTGTTTGGATATCTAGAAACAAGGCAGACTTCATAATAAATCATTAAGAATTCTGAAACATAAAGCAGAATCTTACAAGTGTAAATGTTATGGGATGGACATTTCTTTTTAATTATTCACCTGTCAGTTGTGAGCTGAGAATGTCATATTGTCAGAAATTAGGTCATTTTCACTTCTTCAGGTCCATGTCACCAGTAGGCCTTCACCAAAATAAAAGTCCTGAACTGTTGTGTTAGATGCTAAATAATGTTTAAGTCATTAAACAAAAACATATGCAAATCGTCCAGAGGAAAATACTGCATTTTGCAGAGAGTATTGTGACATTGCAATTTGAAATGATGTCATTAAGTGAATATTGGCCTGCTGTTTCTAAAAATAGTAACACTGAGTTACATTTGCTAACCTTCAAGGGATTATGATCAACCAATGAGGAAGTAGGAAAATGTATATCATCTAATATTTGTTTGTATGAACTGTGGTTGTTTATAACTTGCTCTTCAGTGCTTATTAACTTGCACTGTCGGCTTTAAGTTACCTTGATCTGATTTTTTTTGTGTGGGGAAAATGCTGCAGACTGTACGTATTGATACATACCTGTGTATTTTGTGTAAACTTTTCTGTACACAGGCAACAAGTTCCTGCTAAGAAGTAGCTACATGTGGACTAGTCTGCTAAAGAAGTATGAGGAATGTGGAGCAGTTGTGGATAGCCAGGCTATGTCCAGGCTTCTTGGTTAGACCCTCCTCTGACACCTCTGGTTGTATGTGCTGGTACAAGATGGAACAATGGACAATACTTTGCTGATCGAACATTTCAAAGATTCAACACATGTAGACCAGAAAAAAACAGGGGAATTAAACCTAATGTAATTGAGTAAATTACCATTATCAAAGCTATAACTTTCTTGCATATAGAAGCTTTGTTGGTGAAGATACATATTACATTTCTGGAGTTATACATATTGGTTCCTTGTACTTTGATGCCGAATTCTGAGTTCGCTTATGGACACAAGTTGATCATTTCTCTTTGGATAGTTCTTGTGACATTGTAAATAAGATTGATTTATAAACTAAGCTGATTTCGTACAATTTTGTGATAGATTGTGTATATCCCCCTGATATTGTGTTTGTATGACATAAAGGTGTATATGTTAAACCTACCATGCACAGATATATATTTTTTATGGATTAATAACAGAGGAACAAGTCGAGACAGTTGTAAATGTTGTGTGTAAGCTGTATTTTTCAGAGACTAGCTTTTTATCAACCAATGTTTGTGCCTTATCTACAGCACTAGAATCTGACTGGGGAGAATTTGGCACTCACAACTTGTTTCAGAGACGCGCATTATCATACGCAAGTGTTATTGTAGGGTTACAATTTGGAGCAACAAACTAAATATATGGATTAATATATATATATAACTTTCATTCACAAATAAAGAGCTATGCAATCATTTCATGCATTACTGCAAGTGTTTCTGTATGGATATACCTGTTTCAAGGTCATATAGTGAAATTGATATGATTCATCCTGTCTTTTATTGAGCTTGTTTGATTTTGTATTTTTTGTTTGTGTGTTAAATTTAAGGATTTTGCTTTCAGTATTATAACAGTAGGTCTAGGATTTTGTTTATAGAAGGAATCAACCTTCCAGAATCATAGTTACATTTAGATTGTTACAACATACGAAGGTCTGCAAAATATTAAACTTCTATACCAATTTAAGTTTAAATAGGAAAGATTTTTAATTAAATCAAATAAATATTTCCACTTTCTCTTTTCTTTTGGTATTGAGCCAGGGAACTGATTAGTTGCTAGAAGTTTTTGTTTGACAGATACCCGGTATTTCTGTACATATGTCATGAGAAAACCCCATTATAAAAGTAAAGGGGGCAGAAGGAAATAAGGGACAGTGTAGCAGAAGCAAAGCAATGTCAGAGAGGAGAGGAAGGCAAAGAAGGGGGAGTGGATGGGGGAACAAATATAGCAATTATTTTAAAATATAGTTTATTTTCCATTGAAGTCATTTTTTATTTGTTTGTTCAAATATCTAACTTATCGAAGCATATTACTAGCATATCCTGTTTATTTAGTCTGATTCCATTGGTTGAATTTTATTTAATTGACATGCTAAGCATAATATGCTAAGTAACTAAGTATGAACACTGAAATTGTTGACTTGTAATAGATTAAAATACGAATTCCAGTGAAAAGTGAATTATTTCTGAAATAACCAAAGTTTTGTTAGATATGTTATTTTGAAAACTATAACTACAACCATGTTTCAGAAATCAATTTTTACATGATCACTAAAACTATTTAGTTGATGACTTGATGTGTTTATGCTGTGTTTATTTAATTTTTTAAATGATTCTAACAGTTGAAGGATTTACATGTGTAAATGTCCATGGCACATTTAGTGCTGCTAAAAGACATTTTATTATTGTTTTATAGTATAATCTACATTACATCATTTGTTGTAAGAATATCAGACTTGGTGCAGATTTTAATAACCCTGATATCCTATATTGTTGAAGAGACTGTTGAATTGTATTTTCTATAGATTTATTTAGAGGCACCATTTTCAACATAACACAATCAAATTTTCCCTTCAAAACATTCAAGTACAGGATTGGTGTTGATATTAAATCATAAGGAATGAACATTATTAATTTGCTTGATATAACCTGTTTGAGAAAAAGCTTTGAAGATTATTGAATGTATGTTTTATCAAATAAAGTTCCTTCAACTTGTGTATGTAACCATAGAAAACAACGTTGTTTCAATGTCTGTATATTATTACCTTGTACTTAAAATCTTGATAATGTCTGTAGAGCAAAGGCAGTGTGGCTGAATTATATTTAGTTATGGTGCTTTGATAAAGTCCCTTTTTAATTAAACCATATTTTGTATGATTTTTCTGTAATTTCTGGAAGATCGACCAAGGTTCATTAGTTTAGTAATAAAATTCAGTACATATGGTACATAATCGGTTGTAACTCAACTTTAACACATAAATAACACTCAAATATTTACGTAGCTGTGACTTAATTAGGAATTAAGTTCTACATTATATTACATCTAATGATGTTTTTATATGCTATAACATCATGAAGAAATATTTTATAAGACGATAAGATCAGAGTCTTTAATTTAATCTTATTATATTTGGGTGTCATTGTAGATGATATTGTACTTGTTCTTGCCATTTATGAAATAGTAGCATTAAAAAAATAGTGACATTTCTTCACTCAAAATAAACACTTGATTTTCTTCTCGGGAGTTTAAACAAATTGCACAGAATGATGATAGTTGATTGATCAAATTTAGACATATTTACTCTTAAAAGTTTGTAATCTTGTTTTATGTTATAATGCTAGATCATAATTTGACAGTGACGCACAGAATAAGAACTGAATCATGATCGATATTCCAAACATATTAACAAAACCCAATAAAGGTTTATTTCTGTAAATATTGATTTATTGTTTTGTGTTTGTTTTAGACTTCAGTTCTCCTTCATTGTCCGTTGTATAATATTTGTTTTCACTTAACTTGGTGAATTAATGTCTTTCAGATATTATTATGGTTGCGTACAATGGAACTGTTGGATGCTGCAAACTGAACGATTTTCCATGACATTGTTAACCAGTAATATGAGTATGTCATTCCACCTTTTAAAAATTCAAGCTTTTATACGTGCTGTTTGGCAGAAAATACCATGGCATGGTGTTGGCTGGAGGAGGTCAACAATACATTTTCTGGACTATAACTAACTCGCTAGTGTACCTATCTTCACCAAGCTGCTATACTTATATATTGACACGCAAAAGAAACGCAACCTCCTACTCTTTTTTTAATATTTCTTTCAAAATGTTTGTTTAAGTAACGTAGCCAATTAAAGATAGTCTATTATATTGGATAATTCAGTAAATTTAGCGCTATCGTTAATCACTTTTGGCAAAATAATAGACTGAAGAGGGCCATTGTAATTTTCCGACTTCAATAATGAGTAGGACCCCCTTTAGCATTTGTTGCTACTCTAATTCTGCAATGCATAGAGTTGATAAGACGGTTTATTTGTGCCATAGATGTTCTGCCACTCTTCCAGAAGCGCCTGACGCAGAGCGGGTAGTCTCTGGTGGATTTGGGCGCGTTTGAATGCGTCGATCCAACATGTGCTCTATTGGCAAGAGATCGGGATTGAAGGTAACATGTCGACATTGTTTTTGCGAAGATAGTCCATTGCACGTCGTGCCATATGGCACCGAGCATTGTCTTGTTGAAGATTACGTTACGCTGGCGGACAAACGGCACGATGACAGGTTGTCGTCGAATAACATCCATGTACCATTGAGCTGTCAAATTGCCTTCGATGACGACTGAAGGGGTTTTGCGGCTAATACAGATCCCACCCCACACCATAACGCTGCCCACCACCAAACCTGTCGCATTCCACCATGCAGTTATCGACACAACGTTTACCACTATGTCGGAAAAACATGCCGACTCCCATCAGAGCGGTAAAGCGTTAATCGTGACTCGCCGGGGAAGAGTACACGGCGCCATCGTTGCATAGGTAACACGTTTAGATGGTGTCGCTGGAGCCTTTTGAGTCTGACATCGATAACGGTGAAGGGCATTCCCACTGCAAGGCGATTCAGCTTAATGCTGGAGACGCTTCAGCATAGTATCTTGGCTTATTCTAGGATTGATTGTCCCTGGTGTCTCGTTTGCAGTTTTTTGTGCAGTTCTGAACTGCTGCAACCGCATGGACCGAACCTGACGAGGCGTTGTAACCTTCGGTCGGCCAGTTCAAGGCTGGTCGGTAGTTGTATCATGGCCAGTTAGTCTAAAACGGCTGTAAAGACGATATATTGTGCTTTTATGTTGGTAGTTTCCAACCAATAGTAACTGCACTGCCCTGTTGTGTGTATTGTAAGTTAGTCTATACTAGGCATTTTGATGTAATCACAAACGAATTTCTTTTACCGGACTATTCTTACCCGATACCTGAAGAATGAGAAGTCATTCGGATTGATATGTTGTCTCGCCTATGTCCCGCCTTTACCATCAATGCACATATCAGCGAAACTTACTTAAACGAAAAAACTTAATGTTAATGGAGACGCTGACAAAGTCAATGGACCATGAAAGTTAGTGTTATGCATGTTTCGAGATGTACTACCTAAGATGCATCTATGGTCCAAGTTTGGTTGATGTAGTACTTATACTTTCAGAGAAACTAACTTAAACACCAAAACTCAATGTTGACGCCGTCGCCGGAAAAAGCAACACCCACGTCTCTCGAGACAATAAACAGGTCTGGGACTCGAGAACGCCTAGTGTGACAGAGTTCATGTATGATACCATGCTATTCAACACGGCTCATAATATTTTATAAATATTATAAAATTATGGACATTTTAGGGGGTTGCGTTTATTTTGCGTGTCAGTGTATATCGTGGGAAGGAGAAATGTCACTTCTTGTTATAGGTCTCCTGCTCAACAGAAAGAGCCGTGGCACTTGGTTCTTTTTTAAAAGAACGATGTCGTGCTTTGGACATACCAAAGTTTGTTCAAAGCTTGACTTCCTTGCTTTCATATACTGGACAAATCTTCCTGCAATTATGTATCTCGGGAAGTCGAAGTATCACATACAGATATTTGGTCTAACAATTACAGAGTAATAGCCCTTTGTTTTCAACTCCAAAGTTTGTCTGAAGCATTCACCAAACTCACTACGCTATATTGCAGCTTGAAAGGGCAGAGGGTTGTGTACTGAAGTAAGGTCTTTTGAAGTTTTAGCACTTAGATTATTTTTGTATCAAATTATTTCTTCAGCATGATATTTCACCTACAATCACCAAACTTGTACTTGTGTTTCATAGGAATGCGGTGTGTCATAAACTATTGTTGGTTCTTGTACCCCACTATATATAGATTTGTATCCCTTTGTTAATTTTGAAATTTCTTATACCCCGACGCAATACATGCCCTTTGGATCCCTGCGCCGTATATTATTTGGATTATGAGTCACCCTAATATCATTTGGAATATGGGTCATCCCTATATATGAAGTATTTTAAAAGGTAGGATGTAATAAGAATACTCTTATTCCGATCGTTAATACAGTAGTGCGTGTTTCCTATTTCAACTCGTCAAAAACATAAACTGTCTTGAGTTGTAGACTGAGTAGTGCAAACATAGTTTCTGGTCATCTCGTTCAATGGGCCAGGTGAACTTATGTCTTGGCGAGCGTTCGTCGTCACCTTTACTTTAAAACGATACTAAATTTGGGACTACACTTCATACAAATGGAGAGTCGAGGCCCAATGGAGAAAATGAAGGTGATATTTAAAGTCCTACTCGTTAAGTACCGGTCATGATATTTTAACCAAATTTTGTCTGAAGCATCGTTAGACCAAGGAGACTGATATTTCATTATGGGTGGATGTACTCATTTGGCCCCACCTCTCTGTCACCAAGGGGCCATGCCCTCCGTTTATACAGCATTTAATCTATCAGCTTTTTTAACCTAAAAAGGGCAGCTGCTCTAAGACGTTACTTGAATTGCCCAACTGCTTCAAACTACAGTGATATTAAAATTCGGCGGGCAAAGGCTCGGCGATCAATTAAAATTGACAAAAGAAACAGCTGGAGAGATTATGTATCAAAAAAAATCATCAAACACGTCCACCAAAAAAGTATGGGATATGATTCGGAAAATAAGTGGGAAAAAGAAAAAGTCAACATCCTCCCACCTCATTCATAAAAACATTTTTTTTCGTCTAGGTCTGAAATTGCTGATGCATTTCCAAAAAACATAGCTAAAAACTCATCCCCTTAAAACCATTCCCAAAAATTTCAGTCTTTAAAGAAAGTTATAATGAGCAATTTACCCTACCAGAACTGATGATATTCCATATAAATTCCTCAAGCACTTGCCGGACTCGTCACTAACATGCCTCCTTTACATATTCACCCAAGTTTACGCTTCTCNTGTGTATGTAAAACTTTGGAACGAATGATAAACACTAGACTGGTTTGGTTTCTTGAGGCCAACGATATAATATCCCCTCTTCAAAGTGGCTTTAGAAATAGAAGAGGGACAAATGACCATCTCATCAGATTAGAGACGTTCATTCGAGAGGCTTTCGCCAAGAAAGAACACCTTGTCGCTGTGTTCTTCGATCTTGAGAAGGCCTATGATACTACATGGCAGTATGGCATCATGAAAGATCTTCACGACCTTGGCGTACGTGGAAACCTTCCCAATTTTATATCTAATTACCTATCAGATAGACACTTCAAAGTCCGTGTTGGTTCAACTTTTTCTGAAACGTCTAAACAGGAAATGGGAGTCCCACAGGGTGGAATCCTATCAGTCACACTTTTTGGTCTTAAAATCAACGATATAGTCAAATGTCTTGGTCAATCAGCAGAAGGGTCGTTATTTGTGGATGACCTCTTGATCTGTTACAGATCTAAGAACATGCACACGATAGAACGACAACTTCAACAGAGTTTAAACAAACTACAAAATTGGGCAGACGAAAACGGCTTCAAATTCTCTAAATCTAAAACTGTGCATGCATTTCTGTCGAAAAAGAAAAGCACACAATGACCCAATCCTTACACTCGATGGCACTAGAATTCCTGTTATTGAACAGACTAAATTCCTCGGCCTCATTTTTAATTCGAAACTATCTTTCATACCACATATGAAGTATCTGAAGGATAAGTGTTCCAAGGCGTTAAACATTTATACGAGTCCTTTCTCATACTGATTGGGGAGCGGACCGTGAAATGCTTCTGCGCCTATACAGATCACTTATTCGAACAAAACTAGATTATGGTTCTATGGTATACGGGTCGGCGCGGAGTTCTAACCTGCAAATGCTAGACCCAATCCATAACCAAGGGTTACGTCTAGCCCTTGGAGTTTTTCGAACAACACCTGTAAAAGCCTGTACGTGGAAACGAATGAACCATCACTTAATGACAGAAGGAAAAAAACTTGCATTATAGTTTGCAGCTTAATTGAAATCAAACCCCAAAAATCCTGCTTTCGACCAAGTATTCAACCCAAAATACCAAAACATATTTACGCAAAACCAAAAACTTCTGCCGACATTTGGTATCCGAATTTCAAATTTCCTGCAAGAACTCAACATAAAGTTGACTGACATAGCTGAATTTAACATATCTGATGTTCCTCCGTGGACCATTCAAACACCTGATTTAAACTTTACATTACATGAGCGAGGGAGATCAAGTGTTATGCCCGAAGAACACAAATCTTCCTTTCGGGAATGCCTTCTCATACACAACTTTACACCGATGGTTCCAAAGAAGGTGAGAAAGTGGGGCAACAGCCTGCTGTACTGCTAATTCTTGCACTTCAGTTCGACTACCAGACGGCGCCTCCATCTTTTCTGCCGAAGCATGCGCCATTGGTTTGGCCCTCGACCATATCGATGAACAACGCATTAAAAAGGCAATCATATGTTCAGACTCCGTATCTGTCCTTCAGAGTTTACAGTTACGAGATCCTAAAAACACACTCGTACAAAACCTTGCTCTTCGAATGTCTCGTATCTTAAAAAAGTATAAAAATAACTTTACTATAGATTCCGAGCCATGTCGGAATTAAAGGCAACGAATTTGTTGACAAGGAAGCAAAGAATGCATTGAATCTCCAACAAACAAATATCAAACTACCATATACAGATTTTAAACCAATTATTCGTACAGCCATTCAAAATGAATGGCAGCAACGCTCGAGAGACCAGCAACAAACTTTTTAAAGTACAATCGAAACTTAAAACATCTGTTCCAAGTCGTAAAGGTCGTAGAGAGGAAGTTGTCCTCGCTCGGCTTCGTACTGGGCACACATATCCAATTCATTTGTACCTTTTAAAACGAGAAGATCCACCTCCATGCCACACATGTGACACTACATTTACAGTGGAACATTTTTAATAGAATGTTCCGATTTTAAACACATTCAAGATAACTACTTTCGAGTCACGGATATGAAAACTCTTTTCAGTTTCGTGGACTCGAAGGACTTATTTAGCTATTTAAAAAACGTCGATCTATTCTATAGACTCTTATGTTTTCTAACCCACCTTACCATTTTTGACGTTATATATATCACATAGTCCATATCATCTATTCGTTATCTCTTTTATTATTTTAACTCCCTTTTTATTTTAATTATCTACACATACAATGCGAATGCTTTTAATATGAAACTTTTTATCTGATTTTATCTTCGCTACTCACATGTTTGTTAAAAAAATAAAAAAAATAAAAAAATCACCATGGCCCTAAATGACCACAGCCGTCGATGGGCCGTTAAACATAAACAAACAAACAAACAAACAAATAACCTAAAAAGCGCCAATTCATATATATACTTAAAATGTGTTGTGCCCAGTATGCCACACCTTTCGTTTATACATTTTAGTCCATTCGGTCAAATGTGCTGTATAGAGCACCTTTACCTAAGGTTGCTTCAGATCAAATTTGTTTAAAATCCTTTGATTTGTACGGAAGGAAAATAATTTTACATATTCTTTCCTCAATTGGGCCCGCCTCTTCCTTTTTTCACCATTGAGCTTCCTTATCCAAAGGTTGCTTCAGGTGAATTTGGTTAAAATCCCATGATTTAAAAAAGGTGAAGGATTACCTTAATTCTTCCTTTTGGGCCTTGCCCTTTACTCCCAGGGTGCCATACCCTACGCTTATATAACTCGTAACTTCCTTATCTAAACGTTGCTTCAGACCAAATTGAGTTAAAATCCCTTTATTTATACGGAAGGAGAAGAATTTAAAACATTATTTCCCAATTTGAGTCCCTGCATATTCCCTCAAAGGAGTCGCGCCCTCCGCTTATACAACATTGAGTCCCCTTAACCAAAAGTTGCTTCCGATCCTATTTGTTTAAAATTCCTTCAGAGAAAGATTTGAATTTTTACTTTAGTTCTCATATTTTTAAGTTGAAGTTTGTTCTTTACTATTACGTTGGTTTGTTATCATTTCTTTAAACATGTTTTATCATACATAGACTGCATTCGTAATGGAGGAGAAAGACCTTCCTCTATTTCCGTTTTTTCTCTGGCCTCGGGAAGCAACAACGTGCATTAACACAACGTTGAGTCCTCCTTGATAAACTATTCTCCAAACCAAGTTTGTTTAGCTGTTTAGGATTGGTAGCGTTTTACAGACGCCTCGCCACGACATAAGCTCACTTGTCCTTCGATCAGATGAGTTACAAACAATCCAGATCCCAGAGTTATCTTGCCACATACACACGTTAAATGTGTTTAGGTTAAGTAGTTCCGGACAGAAAATAGGTGATAAGCCGAAAAAAAGCATATACATGAGATCAACTATCAGAGAGTTACGACGAGTGAAGATAGATACGGAGAGAGCAACGGAGATACATCTGCAAGCGAACACACTAATCAGGGACATAGCTAGCACTTGTTCGAAGTGGATTAATTTAGGAGCGGGTTCAGGCATGGCCCTAGTAGGGGGCCATGGGTTACAACAAGCAGTGTTTTTTTCTGTTCGAAAATGTGGTGAATTCACCTGCGTAAAGGCAGCTACGCGCCTGCATTTATAGATGTACGTCATCCGGTAGGGAGAATATAGATGGTGTGGGTATCTGTTAGACATTACATGGGCATACATAGGTAAATATCTATCTATCCTTGTTGCACGGATTTGCCCAGGGGTCCGACCTCACCTAGAGACTAAGTCTCCAGGCCATGACATGTCATGGGTTGAGATAGCCACATTAAAACTATACAACTGATTGGCATGACGAGACAACATTGTCGCCCCCGGAGGAGTTAGTCCTATATAGTCATAACTTGGAAACGGTTGGTATCACCACCCCGAAACCATATAACTGCTGGCTGGAAATCTAAAATAGAAGAATTGACAATTCATTTAATGCTAACGGGACTGGTCCATGAGTCCCACACTGCCATTAGAGACTTACTCACTAGGTCATAACAAAGAAACAGTTGAGATCAACACCATATAGGGCTGACCCCAAGGGGTCTGAGAGATGACGCAGAAAATGATTATGATTTAGAAATGGTTGAGATCGCCACCCTATATATACCATATTAACTGCTTCGCCATGTGCGAAGAAACGAACACAATCATGCTACCACGATAACACCCCTAATAAATTCTTTGCGACACTTTACTTTTTATATTTATATTTGGTTCAATCTAATTAAAATCTTCCGTTTACTGATATGTCGCGTGGAACACATATGGACTTCCTTTCACCTAAGTTGGTGCAGATGACACACCCACTTCCGTGTTAAAGTCATATTTCTAAATGAAGAAAATAATAATGTTTTAAAAATAAATGATCATGATCGAGATCGAATATTCAAGCCAGTAAAACGATCGTGTTGTTTTAATAGTAATTTAAATATTCATTATTAAACTGTCCATATTTTAAGAAACTGAAAGGGGTCCCCGATCTTATAAAATGAGAGCAAATGCATACATTAATTGTATGCTATACTGTGGCGGATCCAGAGGGGTTTTTTGGGCTTCAGGAAACCCCCCCACCATGAGAATTTTCTTTAAAAATCATGTATTTTCACCATTTTCCTCAATTTTCCCCCACATGGAAACCCCCCCGGTATTTCGATATGGTGGAATACGAGAAGGTATTATACCTCATATGTAGTTTGCTGTCAGTATTTGGCGCCACCTATAATAATCAGTATTTTATAAGGCCGTCCAAGAAGGCGAAAAAATGCAAACTCAAAGGATAACTACATTCCATAACATTTCTTTTATATTGAAGAGATAATTCAGACGCCACCAGATAGTTGAATTGTCATAATATAGAATGAAGCATGTTCTTATAAAAAAGAGATATGAAATTATATAGAATCAGCTGAAATCGGCTTCACATTGGCGCGTCATTGTTACAACCCACCCGCTTTCCCCTTCATATATCACGTTTTAATAAAACATATATAGGCTATATGTTCTTTCAGTCTCATAGTAAAACGGCAAAACATAAAAGAGACCAAATTATTTCCTGTAAGCGACACGTATACACGGCCCGACTAATATTAGTCTATGTCCAATAATAACATGTTCGAACAAAGCAATTTGTTGAATTCAGGATTTTTGTTGAATTAATATAAACAATATCTAATCATAAAATATGATAAAAAAACTAACGACTGCTGTTTTGTACCATAACTTATTGTTGTGCTTAACTGTTGTTACCTACTGTACCAGAGACGTATAATACGTCTCTGACTGTACGCAGCATTAAAACGTAGGAGAAAGAAATATATCAGTATCAATTGTTGGTTTACTAATATATATTGACAAAAAGTTCTAAATATTAGGTCGGCCAACATGCAGCCCAGAGACGTTTATACGTCTCTGTACAGCCCAAGTGCTTTTAACACAGATCAACCGAAAGTGATCTGTAAGAGCCGACAAACCAAGGGGAATAACTACGATGTTGGTAGGTGGCGCTAAGTCAGATGTCGTGTCAACATGGCGGCGAATGGAGAAAGCATGACCGGTGAAAATGAAACTGGTGATGAAACCGTATCTTCAGCAGACCATACAGAAGTCGAATGCTTTACGGTCGAGGGTAAATTATATGAAATGCTTGATTCAAGACTTTATAATATGAAAAATGCGAATATGGTTTGCTTATCTGGCATGGCATTATATTACTTGCAGACTAAGATCTGTCAGAGAGCAAATGCCATATGCCGTGAACTTTTAACTTTACTGTATAGGTCTGGCGTGTCTTTTAATATATAAGTTTGCTTAAAAGTTGTAAATAGAAAGTTTTTTGTTTACGCGTCCATGAAAAGTTAAGAAATGAATTGAAAGTAATTGTTGAGTTTGCCCATTGCATGGAAATGTATGGCATCGTTACTTATAACTATCACATAATTTTAATAAAACCGAACATGTTCAAACTTCAACGTAGCATTTAGGGTCTTTAAATGTATCTTTGTCAAATTATGCTTCATTTTGAATGACTGTCGGTCATAGCAGTCGACTGATTGCATCGATGTGATGTATACTGCCATATGTTGTAGAGACATTTTTATGTAAAAGCCTTGTAGCAGTAAAGATTTCTTGTGAACAGGCATCCAGGTTTTTTGGTATTTTCATAGAACACTGTTCATACCTGCCAACATATACAAAATTCAAATACTGTTGGGGCTTGCTTATTAAAATTACATAGTAAACATCTCACCCAAAGCTAACATGAAAAGGTTCTCGACTTCCATACACGCCTTCAACAGCTGCTGCAAGTGCTATGGATTCCAATTTCATGTACAGTATTGGTGGCAAAGTTGATTGGACAGAAAATTTTGTCCGTAACAGAGCCTGGACAGAAAATTTTGTCCGTAACAGAGCCCAGTCTCTCTGTCTCTCATGTTTGAAAAGGGAGAATCCAGCGTTGCCCAGTAAGATTGTGGTTCCCCAATGCAAGGTTCAGTCCTTGGACAGAGCATTTCTATCAAATAAACAATATAACTGAGACCATTTCATTGTCTATTTGTCTCTCTGCAAATGATACCTTTATGTATCTCATCATAACAAGCTGTATTTTATAATAGCCTGAAATCATGTATAATTACCTATATATGTAGCTACCATAAAGTTTTTCTCTCTTAATTTTAATTGTAGTAAAACCTATATTTCTGCAAGTTAGGTGCCAGGAAATCTTATTTATTTTAATCCACATATTGTGATTACATCCTCAATGAATTAATGTTGTTTTCAGTTTTGCAATTAGTGAAAGAAGCACGTCAGCAACATGGCCTTAGACATGGAGATTTTCAGAGATACAGGTAATATATTTCCCTCATTTCCCTCTGTGTAAGATAGAGCTGTCCAGGATAAGGAAGTAGTGTAGGAAATTTCTATCTTACACCCCATTTCACATGATGTGATGTCACAATGGCTCGACAATGACGTGACAAAACAAATTTGGAACTCTCCTATTCCACAATGCGGAAAAGGCGACGTGATGAAATTAAAAACCTTTTACGATATATTTACTGTTCACGTTAAAAAGATGTGATTAATTTTCCTGCGCAAACTCTGTTTGCCAATATGGGATATGCTCAATCCGGCTGGCTGATTCGTTTTCATCTAAAAAGCTCGGGGGGGATTGATAGTTTCAAAATGGTGGCCAGTCCAAGCGCATTTTCATGGTTTCTGAGCTTATTTTGGTGGTTGGAATGAGAGAAATATGCTCTTTCATGCCCAAGGGCATAGGAGAGGGAAATTCTACCCTCAGGATTTTCAAATTTGGCAAAACCCTCGGCAAAGTCTCGGGTTTTACCAAATTTGAAAACCCCTCGGGTGGAATTTCCCTATCCTACATCCCTGAGCATGAAAGAGTCTTATAATATTACTAGTGAGTACATATAAAGTCTCTGGACAATACATTTTTACATCAAAGTGTTGTACTTTTATTTTCATCACAATAATATATTATAAACTGAACAGGTAATATGACTGTAAAAACGTTCTGATTTAGATTTTGTCATTATTGATTAGTAAGAAACATTGCCTCTAAATCACTGGTACACTTGTGATATCACACAATGGACATCACATTGTCAGTTCAATGAGTTCATCAACAATCACTTTAAGATTTATCAATGAGTTAATGTAGTCTGGCATATAATTATTTATCTTATCATGTTTGTATATTTTAATTGATAAAAGTACACTGATTGTAAAAACAATTATTTGATACAATGTATCAGTAACTGACTGTACTTGTTGAATCATAAAATCGAAGCATCCATGAAACAAGGAAAAGCACATCCAGGGCTTTCAGCTAACCCTTGACATTTATTGGCAGCAATTTCAGAACATATGAAATAGACATGTTCCTTCAAACCCTAGAGTTTTGGGGAGTCAAAAACAAACTCAAAGGTTTAATGAAAGCCCCAACATCATAAAAAGGCTCTTGTATTTATTGTGGGATTTTCCTGCCATCAATATTTGTAGACCCTATTTTATTTTTTATTTTAATCTTTCTCATAGGGGATACTGTTCAAGAAGGATCCATCGTCTTAGAAAATCTTTGCATTTTCCTCAAGGCACAAAACACAGAGTGCAGCCAAAAAAGATCCAAGTGGATAATTTGACAGATGTCAGGTAAAACCGAAATATAAAATGTTCAGGTTCTTAACAAGTTATTAATATTTGGAACAGATATATTTTATGTCAGAAATTCTTATTACATGTATGTACTGCATTGATCAAAGTTAACATAGTTATTGACCCTTTTTGTGCTAATTGAGATAATTATTTAAGGAAAAAAACTGCTTTCCACTGCTGATCATGACATATGGCATTTCCTAAAGCATCAAAAGTCACTGGCACTCACTGCTATTCCAATTTCTGTATTTTTTGGTTTTAGTAAGGATTTAAATAAGAATGTCCTACCAATTTTCTACTGTATATCGACCTTAAAAAAGCTATGTTCCTATGAAATTTATATAATTTCCTCTTTATATGTACAATGACAATTACAGGTTACAGGCATTTTCACATTTTTAGGTCACCTGAGCTTTGCTCAAGTGACCTATTCTAATCGCTTTTCGTCCGGTGTCGTGCGTCGTGCGTAAACTTTTACATTTTCAACTTCTTCTCAAGAACCAGTGGATGGATTTTTTTCAAACTTGGTCAGAATCATCCTTGGTAGATGAGGCTTCAAAATTGTAAAATTGGGATTCCTACCCCAACCCCTGGGGCCAGGGCGGGGCCCCAAAGGGAAAATTA